TGACTTTCACTACGCATACTGGATTATTTATAAACGCTTAAATTATGGAACAAACGCAGCGGCTGAGATTTTTCAGTTCACACTACAAGAACAACTACATGGCTTACCAGGCGTTAAAAACATCGCCGATAATAACATTGTATATGGGAGAACAAGAGAAAAACACAATGAGAATCTTGACAAATGTTTGCAACGGATTTATGACAAATGATTACGACTTAATCAATAAAATGTACTTTTCTAAATAAAAGCTTGGAATTTTTCGGACAAGTTTTTACCGAAGAGGAAACAAGACCAAATCCCAAACGTGTGAAAGATTTGTAAAATGCACCAACGCCTAAGAATATCCATGATTTAAGAAGTTTGTTGGGCATGGCGAATTATAGTAGTCAATACATCGCAAATTTTGCTACAATAACAGCACCGTTGCGTGAGTTAACAAAGAAGAATACGAAATTTCAATGGCGAGATGTGTACCAAAAGGCATTTCATAATCTCACATCTGCATTATCGGCAAACGAATGTATTGCATACTTCAATACTCAGAAAGACACGTACATCACCGTGGATGGGCATACTTCGATAATCAAAAAGACATTTACATCACCGTGGATGGCATACTTCGATACTCAGAAAGACACGTACATCACCGTGGATGGGCATACTTCGATACTCAGAAAGACACGTACATCACCGTGGATGGGCATACTTCGATAATCAAAAAGACACTTACATCACCGTGGATGGGCATACTTCGATAATCAAAAAGACATTTACATCACCGTGGATGGCATACTTCGATAATCAAAAAGACATTTACATCACCGTGGATGGCATACTTCGATAATCAAAAAGACACGTACATCACCGTGGATGGCATACTTCGATAATCAAAAAGACACGGACATCACCGTGGATGGCATACTTCGATAATCAAAAGACATTTACATCACCGTGGATGGCATACTTCGATACTCAAAAAGACACTTACATCACCGTGGATGGCATACTTCGATACTCAAAAAGACACGTACATCACCGTGGATGGGCATACTTCGATAATCAGAAAGACATTTACATCACCGTGGATGGCATACTTCGATACTCAAAAATACACGTACATCACCGTGGATGGCATACTTCGATACTCAAAAAGACACTTACATCACCGTGGAGGGCATACTTCGATACTCAAAAAGACACTTACATCACCGTGGAGGGCATACTTCAATACTCAAAAAGACACTTACATCACCGTGGATGGCATACTTCGATACTCAAAAGACGCGTACATCACCGTGGATGGCATACTTCGATAATCAGAAAGACACTTACATCACCATGGATGGCATACTTCGATAATCAGAAAGACACTTACATCACCGTGGATGGCATACCTCGATAATCAAATAGACACGTACATCACCGTGGATGGCATACTTCGATAGTCAGAAAGACACGTACATCACCGTGGATGGCATACTTCGATAATCAGAAAGACACGGACATCACCGTGGATGGCATACTTCGATACTCAGAAAGACACGTACATCATCGTGGATGGCCTACTTCGATACTCTGAAAGACACGTACATCACAGTGCATGGCATACTTCGATACTCAAAAAGACACTTACATCACAGTGGATGGCATACTTCGATACTCAAAAGACACGTACATCACCATGGATGGCATACTTCGATAATCAGAAAGACACTTACATCACCGTGGATGGCATACCTCGATAATCAAAAAGACACGTACATCACCGTGGAGGGCATACTTCGATACTCAAAAAGACACTTACATCACCGTGGATGGCATACTTCGATACTCAAAAGACACGTACATCACCGTGGATGGCATACTTCGATAATCAGAAAGACACTTACATCACCGTGGATGGCATACCTCGATAATCAAAAAGACACGTACATCACCGTGGATGGCCTACTTCGATAGTCAGAAAGACACGTACATCACCGTGGATAGCATACTTCGATACTCAGAAAGACACGTACATCACAGTGCATGGCATACTTCGATAATCAAAAAGATACTTACATCACCGTGGATGGCATACTTCGATAATCAGAAAGACACTTACATCACCGTGGATGGCATACCTCGATAATCAAAAAGACACGTACATCACCGTGGAGGGCATACTTCAATACTCAAAAAGACACTTACATCACCGTGGATGGCATACTTCGATACCCAAAAAGACGCGTACATCACCGTGGATGGCATACTTCGATAATCAGAAAGACACTTACATCACCATGGATGGCATACTTCGATAATCAGAAAGACACTTACATCACCGTGGATGGCATACCTCGATAATCAAAAGACACGTACATCACCGTGGATGGCATACTTCGATAGTCAGAAAGACACGTACATCACCGTGGATGGCATACTTCGATAATCAGAAAGACACGGACATCACCGTGGATGGCATACTTCGATACTCAGAAAGACACGTACATCACCGTGGATGGCCTACTTCGATACTCAGAAAGACACGTACATCACAGTGCATGGCATACTTCGATACTCAAAAAGACACTTACATCACAGTGGATGGCATACTTCGATACTCAAAAAGACACGTACATCACCATGGATGGCATACTTCGATAATCAGAAAGACACTTACATCACCCTGGATTCAAGTCCTGTAGGTTTATCTGCTATTCTTCCCATGCAAAAGCTGGCAAGAATGATGAAAAAGTTGTAGCTTATGCAAGCCGTTCTCTGACTGACGTTGAAAAACGATATGCTCAAACAGAGCGTGAAGCTCTCGCAATCGTCTGAGGAGAAGAAGATGTTCATCTATTTGTATATGGTGAAGAGTTTACTTTAATAACAGACCATAAGCCTCATGAGGTTATCTATGGCAATCGGAATGCAAAACCATCTGCCCGTGTTGAGCGTTGTGTTCTCAGACTTCAACCTCACTTATTTAAAATTGTTTATAAATCATGAAGTCTAAACCTGCCGACTATCTATCCGGTCCAAATGAACCACAAACAACGGCAAATGACCGAAGAATATGTAAACTTCGTTGCTTTTAACAGCGTTTCAAAAGCGATGACAATCGAAGAAATCGTAAAAGCGACTGATGAAGTTCAAGTCTTAAAAGGCGTTCGAGCTCCAGTGAGACTCTGATATAGTTAAACAATTCAAGCAAATCAAAGACGAGCTGTCCGTTACAACAAGAGGCCTAATACTCAGAGGTACCAGAATAGTCATCCCAAAAGTCTACATCAGAAAGCTGTTGATATCACACATGATTATCTTTTAGGACAAACCAAAACTAAAGCACTCTTGAAAGAAAAAGTATGGTTCCCTAATATGGATGAATTGGTAAACGAAACCTTGGAGAAATGCATTCCATGTCAAGCAGTGAGAAAATCACAACCACTCGAACCAATGGATGTGAAAAATATGCCCAAATGCCCGTGGGAAACTATTCATGCTGATTTTACGGTCCCTAACTTTCAGGGGAGTATCTGCTGGTCGTGAATAACAGATACTCCAGGTACCCCGAAGTAGAAATAGTGCCAACAACAAAAGCTGCAGCGGTTATTCCGAAACTAGATAAAATATTCGCAACACACAGAATTCCAGAAACATTGAAAACGGATCATGGTCACCCTTTTAACGGGAAGAATATCAACGATATCTTAAAACGTTAGGCATCAGAGCGTTATACTTGACAACATATTGGCCACAAGGCAACAGCGAAGCTGAACGATTCATGAAACCCCCGGGAAAAGCTTTAAAAACAGCTCAAGCCGAAAGAAGACCGTGGACGCAGGAACTAAACAAATTTTTACTGCAATACAAACAGCACCACATTCAACCACCAAAGTTCAACCGTCGGAGTTGATATTCAATCGTGTGGTGAAAGGCAAGTTACCAATACTGCACAAACGTAACATCGTAAACAGGTATAAACAAGCACAAGAAAATGACCAGTCTGTTCAAGCGTATAACAAGCAATGTGCGGAAAGCAGACGTAAAGCAAAATATCGAGTTATTATTGTGGGTGATTGTGTGCTTGTTAAGCAAAAAAGGCAAAACAAACTGACCACAAATTTTGACAAGACACCATACTTTGTGATTGCAAGGAGCAAATCACAAATCACAGCACAAAACAATGATGGTCACAAAGTCACAAGAAATATAACATTTCAAAAGAATTCCCATGAAGAATGATGAAATGGACACCTATGACAAGTATCCGGTGAAAGTGGCACAAAATGAAGTAAGACCGAGGAATTCTGCAACGACTTCAATACGAACGAACAATGCACAAAGTACACCCAATACAGATTTTTCAACCAACACAAATAGAAGGTCAACGAGAGACAGAAAAGCGCCGCAACGATATGGAAGCGCATTATCGTAGAGATAGACATTTTCTAAAAAGGGGAGAGTGATGTTGTAAACAGATATTTTAATAACTTAATTTATGTTATGATTGATAAGAATTGGACAGGTGACAGGAACTATTTTTAGGGATGAGAACGAGTGAGAAAGATACATAACAACGACAGCATGTAAGGAGGTTACTATTGGTATTTAAGGGCGAAATCAAAAAGATATTACAATGGTAAGATTTTTACAGCCACAAAATAAACTCATGAGAAAATTATGTTTATCTCAGGTGTTTAAATTAGCTATTGTAACTTTACATAATTTCATTTTCTTTACAGATTAATAAAACTAAACCAAATGTCGACAATGTCGACATTAAAAATGCTCAAATGTCGACAATTTTTAATGTGAAAATCTTGTGGGATAAAAACATGGAATTTATCTTTAGCAAAAAAACAAATTATAAAAATCCTAATTTTCTTAATGCAGTCAATATTTTCAATTTCATGCCATGTGCGACATGCACACTTGTAAGAAATGACCAATCTTGCTTCTGTGCTTGCCGTCGTCGACATGAAACTGGGAATGTTAGTCAGATAGCCTGAAAATTAGCTAGATACGATGGTTAATATCGTCCATACTTTTTCTTCCGGACCAAGTTTAACTGTTTTCAGTTTGTTGGTCCAAATGTCTAAAATCAAATGAAAATAATAGTAATTTATTTTTTTGTGAAACGATAATCCTTGCACATTATAATGTTTCTGTCTGACTTTAGTCTTTACGTGTACTTTTGTGCCTACCTTTTTGCTTACATTAGTCTTCGTCTTTTTGTCCATCTTTCGTGTATCTTTTGTATATCTTTTTGCCTTTATTTGCGTTACCTTTGTTTCTATATTTTGTCTACCTTTGTGTTTACCTTTTTGTCTATGTTTTTGTCCACCTTTGGGTCTACTTCAATTTCTATACCTTTGCGTCTCTCTTTTGTTATATATTCGCTTTGTAATAGGAAGAGTTATATCACAGGAAGAAGAAAGTCTTACAGGAAACACACAGGTTTCTATTCTGGGCCCTTTGGTATTCCTGATATATTTCAACGACTTGGCTAATGTAATACAATCCTTTAGTTAGGTGATGAGAACTTACAATATAAATGAAGTTTATAAATACACAAAAATTGGCACAAAAATTGACAGTCTTAATCCGAATTCCATTTTCATAAATGCTGCTTCGTTTATGTTCAAAATAGTGAGCGAAAAATATGAAAAATGAATGAAATAAAATACCATACATACTTAAAAAGTGGCATCAAATTCCTCTGGCACAAAAGTAGTACTTTCTGTAACTTCAACTTGTTTTTCATGTCAAAGGTAATATTCAAAGCCATTCATGAAATTAACGCGTGTAAGGAATTCTTCTAATATTTAGTAAGCCAAAAAATAAGAGTTAAACCTTTCCCTATGCCAAGAGATGAATTCAATTATGCCTTCATTGCGATGTTGTTATCTTTACAATAGTTCAGGAATATTTAATGAGTAAGATAGAGATGACATAAAAAAAATAAAATCACACTTCAAGTAAACTATTGTTTTGATCGACAAAAATTGAAGTCAATGACGAAAAATAAAACAAATCAATATTTAAAATATTTATTAAACCATATTAGATTTGAGGTACAGAAACAAATTTATTGCTAATTAAGAGTTTCAAAATCTTCTACAACTTAATCAATTGCGGGTAAAACAGTGCTCTATGCTTTTATTTCTTCCAAATGCTTCACAGTGTAGTTAAACACCTCGATCGATTTCAGCGTAGTGAACGTACACTTGATAATCTTTGCAAAGTTTTGTAATCAAAATATCTAACAATATATCTCAAAAGAATTGGTCATCTTTAAAATTTGCACGATTCAGCGGCAATGATTGATCTCCACGCTAGGAGGTATAAATGTAATTAAAATAAGTTTCCTGACTAGGATTTTTAATGCACTGTAGCTTCTATATTATACGTATGTAGTATTTAATTTATTATGTATTTAACCACGTTTAATTAAGGCTGCTTAAGAATCAATTTTTACTGAATCATGGAAATTGTAAATGTCAGATAAGTTTAAATACTGTCAAGGTTGAAAAATGAGACATCACCTTGAAATATGTGATAGTCAGTCAACAAACCAGCAAAATCAAAGTGAAGCACCTTTTATGTTGATGGGAAAATGCTCAAAATCGAAAGAATGCGACTTTGACCAAAATTTTTCAACGCGCTTGCATTTCACTCATTTTCCTTCCATATCGCAACAAACAACTATAACCGAGAACTATTTAAATTATTATAAATATTTAAAACTACAGTTATTTATTCAGTAATTTACACAGAAAATAAAAGGTGAATTAACTTTTTTTTGAAACACCCAGTATCAAGAACTTAGATCCCCTTTAGATAAATCAACTCAAATGCATATTTTATTAATTACGTGTATAATCTGCGGAAAACAAAAAAATAAGAATCAAAGAAAGATATTAGAATTCAGCCCCTTAATAACACCATGACAACTCGCAGCGTCTAACAAGTCCACCAGTGCTATGAAAATAAAGCGTTTATCGTTACTCACTACACCACATATGAGATGACAACAGTAAATATGGGCCAGACACACATAATTAGAGTAAAAGCCCCATTTTTCTTGGCTACATCACAACCTAAAACATATATAAAGATAAATTACATTGTGAGGGGGTCACCAATGCCAGATCTATCACAACGCTTGTCAGGAAGGGATTTTTCTTGTGTTTAGTCTTTACAGAAAGGAATGGATTTGTGTCTGCATTTCAAGGAACAAGATGCTTTGTTAGCCCTAGCTTTTGGGTATGTTTTCTTTCTCCTTTAGCTGACCAGCAATTGTTGTATTTTCAATTTCTGTAGGCAAAGGTTTAAATGGAGTGTTTGTTTGGTTCTTTTTGTTGTTTAATAAGAAAAATCTTAACATTTATATTATTTACATGTAAAATTTATAGTGCTTACTAAGTTTTCTAAAAAGCCCAAACACTAGCTTTGCTGTGTAAATATACAAATTTCTGTTCATTGTGATAAATGATAAGATATAATTTGTATTTAAAAGTGTGGAGAGAAGGTCAATAGTCTGGTTACTTGATTCAACATTTCTTTCTATTTAAGGTTGAGGATTTACACCTTAATATTTGTGACAATGTTCTTTTTTAGCTTACATTTAAATGTAGTAAACCTCATTTTTACTTTCTTGGGATCAGAGATAACCAAAACATTTTGTCTTGTGATTTTGTGGTAAAATCATTTATGTAGCTAGGAGAATGAGTTTCAAAGCAATGTAAAGTATAAACTAGAGCAAAAGAAAGACATGAATGTCATAGCAATAAAAATGACTCATCACTGTCCATATCTTTAGTAAAGACGCCAGTAAAAATGACACATTTACTCTTCTTATCAGTTGTAAAGAAATTAGCCAAAAATATCTGGTCATGTCATTCACTCCTGAACTAGATATACTTTAAAGGAGGGTGTTGCCCCAGAATTATATTCCTAGTATAAACTTTTTATAGTTTGCACATAAGTTTTCAAATGTTCAAATAATGGTTTGGGAAAAAATAAGAGCAATTTCCTAGTAAAATGAAATACTGACTGTTACACACAATGCCAGATTTCTTCAAGATGCCCTGGGAATAAGTGGCCTAGCAGACTCTTTATTTTGCGTAGGAGGCACTTATTCATACATTCATGTTCTGCTACATTAAGTTCCTTTGAAATCCATTATTTTCAACAGATTAAGACATGCATATATGAATTTGTGCCCACCCACCCTCAATTAACAAGTGTCCTACGCCACTGCTGCGATTTTTTATAAACTAGTGAATATTGTAGTCTATAATCTGGTAGTCGGACACTTAAGTGTGTCATTTTCATTTCTGCCTTTGCGATGGCAATGATATCTTGCTTTTTCTTCTTCGGATTGTTTATAACTTTTACTTTACATTGCCTTTATAATTTGAACTATAAAAACGTTTTATTGAATCAATCATTAAATAAATATTTCTTCCAAAATAAGAAAGACAAACATTCTCACGGCAGTTAAGGTGTTAGTCCCCAAATCAAGTATGATTGAATCAAATAAAAATAACTGCACGTTCATTTTAAACAACTACAATTCTCATAAATAGAAATTATATTTTGTAAATTGTATGAATGAATAGAAATAAATATAGAAAAGACTGTATTCATACTTATATAGCAGAGCAAATCTTGTGGGCTTTTCAGCATTACAAAAAGGAATGTTTCATGATCATGGTTGGTGTAAGATCAGTATTTACTCTTATTATACATGAAGATGACCCAACAACAATCATTTTAAGAAACTTCACAACTTCTGAATAGCTAGATATTGCAAACTAAACTCATAAATATAATTTGATAGTTCTATACAAGTTTCTTATCAAAACCTGTTCCAGTAAATAAATGACAGTTGAAAACTTGATAATACAAACATTTTAAAATTGTCAATAATATATTTATACCTTTTATGAATATACAACTGTTGTTATTTGAGCCTTTCTTAAAAGAAATCTACAATACAATTGTTTTTTTACTGTTTTTTAGTTCCTATTGCTCGTGTAAGAAAATCTATTGCTTTTTTGCACTCTCCCATTTTACTATAAACCAAAAACAGATTGTTGTACGTTGTCGCAATATTAACATGGTCAGGTCCAAATGCTTTCGTTTCAATTTTCATCACTCGTTCATAAAAATCTTTTGCTTTTTCGTACTCTCCCATATTAAAGTAAACCAAACCTAGATTGTTGCACGTTGTCGCAATATTCACATGGTCAGGTCCAAATGCTTTCGTTTCAATTTTCATCGCTCGTTCATAAAATTTTTTTGCTTTTTCGTACTCTCCCATATGATTGTAAACCAAACCCAGATTGTTGTACGTTGTCGCAATATTAACATGGTCAGGTCCAAATGCTTTCGTTTGAATTTCAATCGCTCGTTCATAAACATCTTTTGCTTTTTCGTACTTTCGCATTTTATCGTAAACCCAACCTAGATTGTGGTACCTTATCGCAATATTAACATGGTCAGGTCCAAATGCTTTTGTTTCAATTTTTATCGCTCGTTCAAAAAAATCTTTTGCTTTTTCGTACTCTCCCATATGATTGTAAACTGAACCCAGATTGTTGTACGTTGTCGCAATATTAACATGGTCAGGTCCAAATGTTTTTGTTTCAATTTCTATCGCTCGTTCATAAAAGTCTTTTGCTTTTTTGTACTCTCCTAAAATATCGTAAACCGAACCCAGATTGTTGTACCTTGTTGCATTCTTAACGTGGTCAGGTCCAAATGTTTTTGTTTCAATTTCTATCGCTCGTTCATAAAAATCTTTTGCTTTTTCGTACTCTCCCATTTTACTGTGAACCAAACCCAGATTGCTGTACGTTGTCGCAATATTAACATGGTCAGGTCCAAATGCTTTTGTTTCAATTTCTATAGCTCGTTCATAAAAATCTTTTGCTTTTTCGTACTCTCTCATATTACTGTAAACTGAACCCAGATTGTTGTACGTTGTAACGTTATTAACATGGTCAGGTCCAAATGCTTTTGTTTCAATTTCTATCGCTCGTTCAAAAAAATCTTTTGCTTTTTCGTACTCTCCCATATTACTGTAAACTGAACCAAGATTGTTGTTTGCTGTCGCAATATTAACATGGTCAGGCGCAAATGCTTTTGTTTGAATTTTCATCGCTCGTTCATAAAAATCTTTTGCTTTTTCGTACTCTCCCATATTGTTGTAAACTGAACCCAGATTGTCGTACCTTATCGCAATATTAACATGATCAGGTTCAAATGCTTTTGTTTCAATTTCTATCGCTCGTTCATAAAAATCTTTTGCTTTTTCGTACTCTCCCATTCTACTGTAAACCGAACCCAGATTGTTGTAAGTTATCGCAATATTAACATGGTCAGGTCCAAATGGTTTTGTTTCAATTTCCATCGCTCGTTCATAAAAATCTTTTGCTTTTTCGTACTCTCCCATATTATAGTAAACCAAACCCAGATTGTTGTACGCTCTCGCAATATTAACATGGTCAGGTCCAAATGTTTTAGCTTGAATTCTCATTGCTCTCTTGTGAAAATCTTTAGCATTTTCATATTCTCCATTCTTGCAGAGCAATACACCCAGCTTGTTGTACGAATATGAAACTTCACTATGATCAACACCTAACACTTTAGTTTGAATTTCTGTTATTTCAAAAAGTACTTTAGTTGCAAGTTTATAATTGCAAAATCTTTCCAGAACATCTACAAAATATTTGGCAAATTTCCAATTCCTTTCATCAAGTTTTCGTTCTATTATGAAAACAAAGAATGATTTTACATCGATCAACTTGTTTAGGAAATGTTGAAATGATGAATTTGTTATGAATTTAATTAGATGTGGAATTATTTTGATTTCATCTTCTCTGTCTTCAAAATGATTTAGTGCCCAAGCAACTTGACAGGCAAGATCAGCTGCAGACTTTTTAGAATTATTTTCGTTTTGTTTACAGCCAAGGGTCTGCGATGAATAATTTATGATTGCTTCATGTACAACGCTGTGCAGGCGAAAGTCGTTGTTTTCCGTTTGAAGGAATAAAGAACAATGCTTTAATTGAAGACAGACATCTGCAGATTTTTGTGGATCAATGCTTTTAATAAATGGTATTATAACATCTTGTGGTAAGGGATCGAAAGATATTATTGAGAAAAGTTTAAAAACATGTTTCAACAAGATGGATTCTTCAGCATTTTTTTGTACTGCTAACATAACAGTTTTCATTCCTAAGTAAGATGTGTTTATTTTATGAAAATTGCCATCCATGTTATGTCGCTCTCCTTCATTCAACTTATCAAAATACTGCTCCCAGGTGAATGTCGGATTTACACTTTTTTCTTTGCCTACGTAGTATGCAGCATTTGCCAGGAACAACGGTTGACGATCTAATTTGTCTGATAAATCCTTTAAAAATTTTTCATCTTCATCATGAATATCAGAAAAGACAGATAAAACTTCTCGACATTCTTTATTGCTCATACCATGACTAACTGAAATGTGTTTATTTAGATTTCCATCTGGTGGTATAGCATCTGTATTTTGGACAGTTACAACAATTTGTCCGTTTTTCCAACTATGATCACCAACTTGAGGTAACAATGGATAAATTTTATCAAGTTCAACCACGTTATCTACAACAATCCACCATGTTTGCCAAGATTTCAGTTCCTGTGTCAGCAATAATTGAAAATCTTTGATTTTGTCTTCTTTGCTTATTGCTTCTTTCCGAATATTTTCAATGACAGTTTTATCATTGCTTAATCGTTGATAAAGTTCAGCATAAGTTTTCAAAAGAGAGTCGATATCTTTTCCTTCCAGTGTCATCACAAATGTCGTATTCTTTTCCCAGTCAAACGAGTTATACATTTCTTCGCAAATTTGTCTGGCTAATTGAGATTTACCACTGCCAGGATTACCAGAAATATAGTAATATGTTAGTTCATTATTGTTAGTACTGCGCAATTTATTGAGATCTGCTGTGATTTGATTAAGTAACTCTGTACGTTTAACCACATCGTGATTTGATTTGCAAGGAAGTACTTGAAAAGAATTAAATGTGTTTCGTTGACATTTAATATCATTAATTTCAGTAAAAGAAAATGCTAGATCTTTAAATGACTTTTCAATATCACAAAGCATTTTGTCAAATTCGGTATCAGATACTCTTCCTGGATTATCATGGGTGAATTTGTTTCTTACAATACGAAGTGCATCAACTGCAGATCTAACTGTTGGGTTAACTTTTGTTCCAATTGAGTTGGAATACAGTATTGCTGCAAATAGTGTTGTACAATCCCAATTACTGGTGTCACCATCTTGAAATTTTGACATAATATGTTTGTCTGGAGGTCTCTTTTTTAAAATTTCAACATTGAACAACTTCTGACCACTAACGTTTGTATTTTCCCATTCTCCGTGGGATTTTTTGTAATTAATGTTCCACTCTTGGATGAATAAATCAGCAAGTTTCTTCGTAACAACATCTGAAAGTATTTTCTGAATGTAGTAGTTATTCCATTCTTCTTTTGACTTCATCTACGGATTATAAAAAGGATTAAGATGAACATGGATATAGTTTATTAACCATAATTTATGGACAACTGAAATTTGTTGAATATTATCATTTCGTAAATTTTCAGTTGTATATGAAAATGGTTAAGGAAGGTGGTAGCTAAAAACAACCCTGTGAATATTTGTGTTTAAGGTTGTCCTGCATTTAGGCATTTCTCTGGAAGTTAGACAAGTGATTAAAAACCTTCATAAATAATAATACCTTTTATGTCTCCATGGTCATTCTACCGTGTCGTCAAGAAAAGTGAAGCAAGTTTAGTTTATATGTTTTAGTTTATATAAGTTTAAAAGTTATGTAACGACTGCGTGTTGAAAAATAGACCAGGCGGAGAAAGGTTATCGTCCCCCAACGCGGCAGTTTACTTGAGTAGACTTTTGCTCAATATTGGGGCGTTGATTTCAAAAAACGATGTCATTCTGGTTATTATGGGGCTTTGACATCGTAAGACGTTTAAATATATCAAAAGAACAAAAAATTAGTAAAGAATACCCAGAAGGAAAATAGATGAACGTTTTACCTTGAGATTTATCTAAATGTTTAATGCTTTTTGTTGAACGTCAATTCCTGGCGTACGTTTCCAAAGAAATTTTTTCGAAGCGAACTTTACCAGGGGCGCCAGAGCCTAGGGGGAAGATGTTTGCCAGTTTTCACATTTTGAGCAAATAGCAGACGTATATCTTTTTTCCCGATATGCAAGTTCCCCAATTACAGATTCTTCGACTTTTTTTCTCATTCGAAGCCTTGTTAGCTGGTGTGTCTTTAATTCAGCTGTAATTTAGCGCGTATTTTATAAAACATTTTGGTTAATTTCTAATGAAGAAATAAACATTAATTTTGAAGGCAGAAAATGTAATATGTAAGTACTGTTTACTTTGAAAAGCTTATATGTTAAATTAGTAACGCTTGTGTTATGAGGAAAATAAAACTTCGCGTTTGTGGGAACGGCAACTACACAGACAAAATTTGCTGGCAGAATTTTTCATCGCTTGTTTTGAGTCATGCTCTTAAAGAACAAAAATGCGTTAAGTGAAATGGAATGTACGTAGTTGGGTTTACCAGTGTATCCGTTCCCATACGGTCAACACCCAAGAAACACTTATTGACGTCATATATGACGTCCATATATACATTAGATATTAGATAGAGAACTATTTGACCAATGATAATATTTGTTATTTGTAATGAATACTATATATATATATATTGCTCTGCAAAACAATAAAAGCAGTGCGTTCAATAAGTAGAAATTTAGAGCAATACCACGTGCTTTACGAGCAAAGAAAGATGCAAATAAAAAGAACAAGACAATTGCTGATACGAGTGGTCAAACCAAAAGAGCATCAGTTTTTCATTCTCAAGAAATTGGTGGGAAATTGACACACGATAACGAAATATTAGAAAGGGAAGATGCCACCCCATCAACTAGCAGTACTGACTACGCTTTCAAAAATGATTTCTGACGCCCAGGATTAAGCGAAAACTTGTATTTCCTTGCTGGTGTAAGCCCAAAAATAGGGTTTTACTTTTTCAAAACATCCAGAAAGAATTTTCATAAGTTTATATTTGATAAGAACGATAGTAATTATTCAATTTGAATAACTGTATAATTTGTTTCCGAAAAATACAGCAAAGTGATTAACTATAGTTTTTGAATAAAGTCATCTTCGGTCGAATTGAAATTTCTATGCAGAGTGCACATAAAATTATCATGAAAATCTTTAACAATTGATCATTCCATAGTTATATAAATCAAGAATACATCGATAACATTTGTGCTAAACACTCATCTTGTAAATATATCTTGTTTAATTACTGTTAACAGTGCAGAATATGGTCAACTTAAGATTTTGATAAAACGTAATAGTTGAAGAAAAAAGAAATTGTTTTACTTCTTCACAAAAGCCATGATGTAAACAATAATACAATAGTACATAAAAACATGTATATCACAACTGAATGTTGACTGATGTTAATTTTGTAGCTTTTCTATATGAATATAATTTGAAATTAACGATTGCAGTAAATTGGTATTGATGTGAGAAAGGTCGGTATTTTCACAGTGTAAATCATCCAAATTTTATCTGTGTTTGAAAATCCCACCAAGCTTAAGAATGTTATCCATATAAAACATACGTGGCATTAATTTATAAGTTATATTTAACTACAATATTCGTGACATCAAAACAAAACAATTGATACATGGACACGAAACATTAAATTAGATGGCTAAAATACACTTTTGCATAAAGGCGAGTAAACTTTAAAATCAACATACCTTCACAAATTCAGAAAGATTAATACGACGCAACAAACTACATGATGTCTTGGCTTTTGCTTGCTAATAAAGAAATTGGAATGTTCAATAAATGCTTTATTTTAGCCACCTGCTGTTTTTTATTGTAAAATATTGAGTTCTGGTCATACTTAATATAATATGAAATGCAAATTTTTTATTTTAGCTATGAATGAAGTAAACACAAAGAAGTTTTGACTTGGAAGCTTTATGCTAATAAACCTTTTACACTTTACTATATATTGTGTCAATTATTGAACATCCTGACTTACAGGCAAACTAACTGAAATAATCATAAAGGAAGACGGGGAAGCCAGCCTTTACAAGTAAGATAGCTCAAAAAGTAAAGATTTATAATTTAGGAAGTTAAGAAAATCAATATACAGAGCTTCTCTAAAATTGTCATCGTTCCATCTTTGAAACGTGTTCAATGAAGTTTTGTCATTTTGTAAACTTTTGATCCGGATAAACAAATAATCTGATCAGAGGCGTGAGAAGCAAGTAAAAATTGGGCTGCTCATAATTTTAGGGGCAGTCTTTATTTAGAAAGGGAATATCAGAATAATTAATCTCGAAGTCTCTAATTTTGAATAATTTTGTCACATCTCAGTAATCAGAGATAATTCAAAATTGATAGCGTTTGGACTTGACACTTCATCATGCAAAGTTTTGTTATTTTGTGAATTTTTACGCAAACAAATATTTTGAATAGTCTAATTTACAACAAATTGAACAATTATAGACCGGGAAAAAATCGTATTACTCTCTTTCGATGTAAATATTCTGATCCTATATTGTGTTAAATGTTGTACACGACTTGAAAAAAGCCATGATAGAAAAAGTAAAATTATTGCACATAATGACATGCATATCTAACATTCTTTGACGTGTCATTATTTTGACTCAACACGTTAAATTATTAACTTTGCTGTATTAATATAATTTGAAATAAATGATTAGAGTAAATTGGTATTTGTGTGAGAAAAGTCGTATTTTCCACGTGTAATCTATCCAAAATATATCTGTGTTTGAAAATCCCACCAAAATGAAGAAAACGTATCCATATAAAAC